TTCTGGGAGTTGAAGTCCACTCATCTTAAAGTGGCCAAGTTTGGACAACACTGCCTTACACGGACCCATTTGATTTCTGTCTTTCAGGAAATGGCCCCTCAGGGATCTGCTTATCGTATCTGTTGTCTGGCAACATTCCCTATGTCAGAAGGAACTCCGCTCATCCTAATCCCATCTTGCAAAGGAAGTTAGAAGAGACACCAGAGGTTTCCATTGTAGATCAGGTTGGTATAACACAACTTCTGTTGGGTGGTCTTCTAATCAAGTGATTTGGCTCTATATAGAGACTCTTCACTTTGGCAAAAGCAGGAGGTATCCTTTAGTCACAGGGTTGGTTGGGTGGGAAACTCCTATAAGTAGCTCATGAATGCAGCTGTGTCTCTGGATCCATATCTCCAGTGAAAACGGTGAGTACAGTCCTCTGGCTGGTCCTCGGTCATGTAGCTGGACAAGGTTTCTTAGATGGAGGATCTATCAGAATGTTACATACAGTCCATCTTCTGTTAAGCATTCAGAGTAGAAAGATACAGACTATATATACCATTCTGATAGATTCTATTTATCCCTTCCTGCAGGACTCGGATAGCAATTAAAGCTTGGGCACTACATATAGTTATGTAAGGTCTGTGCAAAAGTGTAATAGTATGTGGAAATGGCTTTGGGAGACAGAAGAGAGAGCCGTAGACTGGACAACCACCATGTAAAAGATATCTCAGCCCACAGGAGGGAGGGTATAGGATTACATTTCAGATGGGACCCTCCCTAGTTTTCTGGAGATAGGAGGAGAGGAGGGAGAAATACTTTCAGTCTTGCAAGATTCTGTTAATATAACCTTACAATAAAGACAATGCTGGTACTCCTGGATGTGCTTCTTGTCTGGACTGCCTCACAGGGCTAACAAAAAGTCTGTGAGTTTGGTTCCCAGGAGATGGTTTCATCCTCAAAGAATAACATCTGACCACCCATGTCTGATGAGTTCCAGTAGGACAAGAACACTTTCATGATGCCTCCTGGTGGTGTCAGGCCTAGCCCAAGGAACTCCAAGAGACAATGCAAAATCAGTTCAGCTTTTTTTATTAGCTACACTCTCTAGCAAGAATCTCCCAAGACTGAACCCCCAGCTCCCAAGCCCTCCAGCCACAACAGTGTGAATTCCTCAGGGAGGTGCCAGTCTCATCCTCTTGTAGTTCCCACGCTCCATCGGCGAGCTAAGAAAATGCTTATCTCCCTGAGCCTGGCCTTCATAATTCCATTCCATCACAGGTGGTCAGTGTATCTTGGATGATGATGATGATATTTTTATCTCACTTTTTTTTAGTATTTGGTCAACTCAAGGTGGTGAACATACCTAATACTCCTGCCTCCTATTTTACCCACAACAACAACCCTGTGAGATGGGTTGGACTGAGAGAGAGTGACTGGCCCAAAGTCATCCAGCTGGTTTTCATGCCTTAAAGGAGGCCTAGAACTCACAGTCTCCTAGTTTCTGGTCAGCACCTTAACCACTACACCAAATTGGCTCTCTAGATGGAGGGCATTTGATCTGGCAATCCACGGGATGCAGTTTGAGGGTACACCATGAATGAAAGACTTTTGGATGTGCCAAAGCCTGTGCAATGGGTATACCGCTTTGAGGGTACAAAATGTACAAGGAGTCTTAGAGTCTGCCACTCAATACAACCTGGAACAGGAAGGGAAGGTCATCACCTTTTGATCTGTCTGGATTACAGCAGTGCCCGAAACTAAAGTTTTCTGTAGTTGCAGTAGGAAGCACCCATCAAGACATCTTATTTTCCCCACAGGATATAGAATACTTATCTGAAGGCTTAGAAGGCCGATCTTCCAGCTCAGTGGCTCTCCTTTTTGATGCTCTGTTGCGTCCAGATACAGACTTTGGTGGGACAGCTGATTCTGTACTCACTTGGTGGCATGAATCTGACCGAGCTATCCCTCATCTGGTTCTTGGCAAAACCTTCCCTGGAGGAGCCTGGCATGTAAGTGCAGCTCAAAGACATTAGCATTTATAAATGAAGGTTGTGTTGAACTCTGCCTGCATTTGCTCAAGAGTTTTCATGAAATTTTCTTGAAAATTTCATCCATGTTTCTCTTGCTGGTATTCTGAGTTTCCTTCCTTGTGGGAAGTGGTGGAAGATGCTAGGGCTGGTGTTAATGGTGTTCTGTTCCTTGTCTTTCCATCACTCCAAAGCCTTCCGGGCAGTCCACATTTCCTGATATGAAAAAATCCAAAACAAAACAGTGGGGGAAGATCCCCTTGATGACTTTCTTACGAATTGAATGGAAATGTGGAAGGCAAGGAAGGTGACATTCACCCCTTGGACCCTTTCTATCCAGATAATGCAAGAGCACTGTGGTCTGCCCATGAGAAATTCTCTGGAATCCTCTTCTTCTTTCTGAGATAGTCAAGAACAATTTCCCTTTTAGCAGATTGAAGGAGAACTGGTGGGAAAAAATGGAGAATTTTTCTGCACCATGCTGGTGTAAATCGAGTTAAAGCATAACCCAAGTTTATAGAACTAGTCCGTGCCAAACCCTAAAATGGTTGGTATGGGATGAATATGAAATGTGAACCATATGAGTTTCACCCCTGAAGAATAAATAGGTACAAAAGATTCAAATTCAAAATGTGTTAAGTTTGAAATGGGTTCTTCAGATCTTACTGGAAGAGATCTGACCTAGTTCCAACCATTCCCCAAAGTGTTGCAAGTTCAAAACAGTTGAATTTCAAGTTTGAAACAAGTATTTTGAACTCATAATGAGGCTATTTCAAAGTCAGAGCATTCCTGGAAAGGTTGAAACAGTGTCAAAACCCTTCCAGTAAGTTTGGAACATCTGCTGGAGGTTAGGTGTTAGTGAGATGGTTAGTTTGGACTATGTATCTACTTGGCTTGTCGTCGTGTTCTTTTTTTCTTCTTATATAGTTTGTTTTTTGTGGTTTTGTTGTTTCTTATTTTTATCTTGCTTGGTGTATCATGAGCCACCAAATCAAACAATTAAATAAATCATTTCAAACTTGAAATGGAGTGTTTTGTGGTTGAAATATTTTACATACTTCTATCAAAGAACTGTTAAATATGGTTGAATTTCAGTTTATCTGCACTGATCTTGAGTGGTTTGTATACATTCTGTCTTACATTTATTGAAATTGACTGTCTAATGGCCAAAGAACCTGAAAAAACTGACATCCAGTAATATAGAGATTTGGTTTATGCATCAGCTTAAACGACTTGAAAGTTTACACAAACAGAAATGGGTATAATTGTAAAAAGAAATATGGCTATATTGTAAATGAAATGGGAAAAGCAGAACATAAAAATAAAAATCCAGTATTATTCTTGCAAGGGACATTAAATTGGAACAGATGTAATTATATGACAATTTAGCACTTTAAGAACTAGTATTAGAATCAAATCACAGATTAGCAGAAACAGCCCGAATAACAAGAATGAACAAGAATTTCTAACTGATCCAAAGCAGCCCATCCTTAACTTTATGGCCAGATAGAATCCTGAACATGGTGATTAAAGCCACAATTACCAGGGTTCTCATTGTATAAAGCCATAAACTGTTTTGCAAACATCAGTGGCTGGATATATGCACCATCCTGGGTCAAACCAAATAAACTCCATTGTGCATTAGAGAGATGTCTGTGCTAGATCTGTGAGGAGGAGCAAATCTTAGCTCTCAAGCTAATTTTGTGGGAGGGACACCCCTCCTCCCCCAGTCTCCCCATGTCACTTCCTTCACTGCTTCCAGTTGTATTTCCAGAATTGGGTTTATGTGCTATCTTTATTTTTCTTTCTTTCTGTTTGTTTAGTCTATTGAGGGATCCATGTTCACCCTGAGCCAAGGAGATTGGATGGGGCTTCCTGATCTTCAGTTCAAAGACTGGTTGAGTAAGAAAAAAAGGTATGATACCTTCCCTGTGAGAAACTTTAATTCAAGATTAACTTTAGGCTCAAGCATTTACAATGCTTCTGTTTCTGACCCATTGTGATGGTCTACTGACTGGGGTGGCTGCTTCATGCTGCCTTTCTTGGGGTGCTGTGAAAGGGCCAAAATCTGACGGTTACTTTATCAGTGGATTTTTTTTTCTAGGGATAGTAGCTGGTACAGTTGGGGGATTTGGCATTTTTGCTTGTTATTGCCACTGGTGCCCCAAAATATTTGGTTGGCTTCAGACACCCTGCTCCTACACAGGCTTGGTGAGGTGGCAGAGGTGGAGGTATTCCGTCTGATGCTCCACTTCAGGCAAGCAACTGTTCCTGGTAATCCATGAACAAAGAACACTTTTTACTTAGACATACATGCTTCCAGAAGGAATGCAGAAGCTTTGGATGTCACATTATCATTTCCTTGGAGACTTGCCAAGGAAGATTTCAGGATCTTTCAAATAGAGTGTTGCCTTCTTTGGGATGTTTCGTTCCATGTGAAGTTCAGTTGATATGGACAGAAAAGGTATCTTGGGTTCTGCACAGGTTCCTAACCCAATGCCCTGCAAATGCACTGGAGTTGCCATTCCTAAAAGTTTCCTCCTAAGGATTCTGGGAACTGGAGTCTTAAAGCATTAGGACAATTTGGTTGGGAAGGCTAGCATCCTGTTTTCTTCGGAACCTGCCCCAAGTCCTCTGGATAAAGCAGATTCAACATACTGTAATGGGATATTCCACTTCGCTTTGAAATTGCAGGCAGAGATTGAACGAGCAAGCATAAAAGCTTGAACACAAAAATGAAAATGTCCAAGGAATTACTGTAACCTTGAACATGATTTTAGAAACCTGAAACGAGAGATTTTTTTTCCCCCTATGAATTGGAGCATTTTAAATACTGTGTGTCATTTCCCACATTTTTGACAGCTACGAAGTCCAGCAAAGCTGGTTAAAGAGCTGTGAAGGATGGGATATAACTAGCACTACTAGATCTAATTGCAGAAATCCAGATGGCCACTAGATGTCAGCAAAGAAATACAAGAAACCGTAGCTCATTGTTGCCATCTAGTTGTTGTGTGGAGATCTGCAGCCTAGACTTGATAGCTGTTATTTCATAGTATGCACTATATTGGAATTTATTTTCCTTTTTCCAAGGGTTATCATATAAGCAGCAAACTTAGAGCTGGTCTTTAGCTAACCACACCATATTATCCTCATACACAAGAGGAAGGTACTAATACAACTAGGGTTTCCCAAAAGTTTAAAGCAATGTGACAATCTTAAAAGCAGAACAGCGTAGTGAGAACTTGAGTATGGCATGCTAAATGACTAATTCTGAAGGACAATGTTAACTGTAGCCTTATGAAGTAAGGTTGAACCAATTTGAAAACGTTGGTCAATCAGTGTTGCAGAAGGACGGGAACCCTTTCTTTTTTCTTTCCTTTTTTATTAGGGCCATAGTACATCAGTCAATATCTGTCAGGGTCCACATTCTAACAGTCCCAAATGGATGAGGGTTGAAATATGGATGGAGTTTTCCAAGTGATTCACATGTTACCTTTAGGCCAAAGTATACTACTTTGCAAGGTTGATGTCAGCCTTATCAGGTAGACCAGACAGGAAACACGACCAATTAAGCTAATTCTACTTTATTGTAAAGCTACATTAACAGAATCTTGCAAATCTGAAGGGACAAATCTTCCATGATCTCCTTTACAGCCCTAGAAACTAGGGAAGGTCCCTTTTGAGCATCTTTCTCCACTCATTATGCAGCTGCAGGCTATTCCCTCTCTTATCTGACCGTCCCTAGGCAGCATCTCTTCGCCCTGTCTCCCAAGGTCTTTCCCACATACCATTACAATGTCCCCAATGTTCTGCTTATGAGCATCCCAGAAGCTACCCATATTTCTAATACAAGTGGATTTGATTGTGTCTGAGATTCTAATATGGAAATGTCCTCTTATTGTTTTATGAAAACAGTCCAATTTATTTGTATCCATTAAGAAACTGTTTTCAAGTTGAGCTCAAAACACTAGATTTTGATCATGATTATGAAATCAGTTGCCAGAGGAGTAGTCTCCATTGATTATTAATTTGTTCTGATAAATTTTTTGTTTTACAGAGGCTTCAGAAACAATAGGGCAACTGCTGGCGACATAGTTCAATACTATCAATATTACGTGGCCAAGAAAGGGCTCAAGAAGAATTTTGTATGTGGAACTCTGGTAACATCTGTGAAGAGACTGAGCTTGGATTCAGAAGATGGCTGTGGTGGTCAGGATTCCAAGGACAGCAGTTCTGTGTGGGATTTATCCCAGAAATCTCAAGACAGCAGGGACAGTCTCTTCCAGGTTGATGGATTTGTCACCAATATCAGTGGCACTCATCCCTTTTCAGTTTATGCAGAAAATGTGGTCTTGGCCACTGGGACATATGATAGCCCAACCCATCTTGGGATCAAAGGGGAGCATCTCCCTTTCATCCATCATACTCTGTCAGCTCTTGAGGAGGCTGTAAAGAACAAGGAAATTGGCATCATGTCTGACCCAATTTTGATCGTAGGAGCTGGGTTAACAGCAGCAGATGCAATCCTCTTTGCACACCATTGTAACATTCCTGTGATCCATGCTTTTCGCAGGCGAGTAAATGACCCAGCCCTCATCTTCAATCAGCTTCCCAAAACAATGTACCCCGAGTACCACAAAGTTCACCAGATGATGAGGGAGCAGGCCAACCCTTACCCAGGACCATATGAACATTATGTCAGCCTTCCTGAGCACCATGTAGTCTGCTTTTTGGAGGACAGGAAGTGCATCTTTTCTGATAAGAGCGGCCATCAGAAAATACACAGAATTTCCATGGCTTTTGTTCTCATTGGCTCCAATCCCAACCTCTCCTACTTACCCAACAATGGGATGGACTTGGCCATAGATTGCGAGCAGCCAGTCAGTTCGAAGAGGAACCCCATAGACGTTGATCCCTTCACTTATGAGTCAGTTCATGAGAAGGGACTCTATGCTATTGGGCCATTGGCTGGGGACAACTTTGTGAGATTCGTGCAAGGTGGTGCTTTGGCCATTGCCAGCTCTCTGCTGAAGAAGGTGAACAAAAATCCTCCTTAATGCTTGTGAATGTGCCCTCTTCTCTGAAGGATGACTCTTTGCCAACCTTTGAGAATGGGCATTGGAAGCGTAGCTGTGTTTTCAGATATGAAGTCTCTCCTTGAAAGCCCTTTCAAAGTTGGCTGGGCTATGCTGAGTGTCCGATCCAAGCAGATAAAAGCAGGACGCTTGAAGAAGGTTGACTTCTTAATCTCCCCACCTCCTTTACAAACAGAGGGTAGGGGTGGTTTAGGAAAGCCTTACTGGATCTCATGGTGCAAATCAGGCATTGCCTTGGTTAAATCTGAAAGAAGTTATTTCTCCATGGACAACCTGAAGAGCCCTGTCCACATGCAGCAAAAGCATTGTTTGGATCCAAAATAATTGCTTTTGCTCATGGAAGGGTGGTGGGCTTTCCATTAACTAATGTTCCCCGTAGTTCTTCAGAGCTTCTCAAAGTGGGGAGAACCTTCAGAACAGATTTTCAGTGGGTCCATGAGGTCATAGCAAAGAGCGGGAGAATCTGTTGTTCTCCCACACCATGCGTGCGTGGAAGTGCTTTTCCACAAATGGTGGGTAGAAAGAAGGTCTCCATCCAGTTCGAAAGTTTAAGACAGACTCTCCCAACCAAGGCACCTTCCGGATACACAGAATTCCCCAGCCGTCATGGCTCTCGTTGAGAATTAAGGTGCCCAAGTGTGGGAGGGTTAATCTAGGAGAACATAAATCTGCATTAGCAAACATCCTGGGATTATGGTTGGACTAACCATTGTGCAGTGGTTACAATTAACAGTGAAACACAACTGATCATTGTTGCTTCAGCTTCTCAGAAGTGAAGTTCAAATAGCCTTGCAAAACCATTTTGGATACTACCACTCAAATCTCAGGATGTTCTTTAATGTTTCTCTTGGACAGCACTGCTGACCATGTTGAGTTTGATGTGTACAGTTAAATGTGCTACTAATTTGTAAGTGAATTTTGTAAAATAATAGTTTTTTTAAAAAAATTTGTATATGGCTATTTTTAAATTAAAAAATAGATTTCTACAGATTCATCCTTCTTTCATCTGCAAGTAAGCCACTGACTCAGATGTGTTCTATTTTGAGGGAAAGGTATGTGGATTATTTATTGCTAAGGTTGCTGCGTGGTGGGACACAAGGAACACAGCTGACAAATTTGGTAATACAGACAGATTCCTTTGCAGTTTCTGCTCTGATACGTTTGGGACAACATAAAAAAGTACCTAGGGCTCAGCTTGCTTTAAGGATAGGAAATTGGCACCAACATTCTTGATTACTTCTTTAGAGAACCTATTCATACAATTGGTTATCCTTAAATAATTGCTCCTGAATAAGCTTTAACATCTTATGAATTGCACACTTGACTGGGGGAAGAGAAGCTGCAATGAGCTGGAAGGAAAAAAAAAATTATGCAAAAAAAAACAAACTCAAGGGTCATCTAGTTTTCTTGACACATGAAATAGATTAAAGCCTGGTTCATACAACACGTTGAACCCTATCAGAGTTGTGCTCAATGTGTTGTACAGCTGCTGTTGTGATTATTGAAATACAGCTCCAGAATAATCAGCAAATTATTCTGCTGACTCCAAGGAGAGTTAGAGATAGGAAATAAGAGATTTCTCCTACATTCCACTCTTGGGTTCTGCTTTTCCCTGATTGGAAAACAGATGCCCTTAAGCTCTGCCTTACAGCCTGCTTCCTATAGAAACATGGAGAATTTTCTTCTTCTTTTCCCCACCATACCAACTGAACGTTCAAAGATGCTGACTTGGTATTGAAACATGGACAGCTGCTGGGGGAGGGACAAACCATGCCATGTGTTCTGTAACAGACATACATTACATCAGCAGCAACATTTGCATGGTGACAACATGATGGGGATGACATTATGGCTTCTACTGGACATGTATGACTGGAGAATGCAACTTCCTTTATTTGTCCTTTTATAACATAAGCCTCAATCTCTAGTTACTCTAATGGTCTTGGAGCTACTCACACTTGCACTGGATGCTGTGCTAAATAAGGTCCTCGGTGAATGACCTGGAGAATTCCAAGCAGGGTTAACATGTTCTCATGTTAACAAGCCCAGACACTATCATTTGAAGACCATAGTTTATGATATATTGCTATATGTGCCTTTAGCTGAATGTAGCTTAAATATCATTACAAATACTTTCTACAAATCCAAAAGAATTTCAATTAGAGATGACTTTGTCAGCCTATGGTTCTAGTTAAAGAACAGCACACCCTCTGATTAAAAGATGACCCTCATCCACTTGACCAAGCTTTTTGGTTTTGCATAGCATGCAAACATGTCTTCTTATACCACTTTCCCATGGTCTGTTGGTCTGTCTTCATTCTGGGAGACACACAGAGGTCCCAGAATTGTAAATGTCTACTATTGCACAGTGCTGCGCTGGTCTAAAGCAGGATCAGTGCAGTCCAGGCCCTGGCTAAAAATAAATCCTTTGGCCATCTTTTGAATTCCTATACCAGCAGACAAAGCAGGGAGCAAGAACACGCACATCCAAATGAGGCACTTGGGGATCTGGTATATTTAGGGCAATGACGATTACAAATTCCACTTCTGCAGTCCAAGACTCTGCTGCCAGAGTATTCGTTGTCACTTGGCCAACCCATCCCATCCTGAGATATCAAGTTGCTGGACTAGGTGACTAGCGACAGATTGCAGAAGCAGTTTTTTTGCGGAGCTGAAGCAAAGCTTTGCTAAGTTTCCTTGCCTCTGTTCAAAGCATAAAGGCTCAGAGGAAATGTCCAAGTTTGCTCCCCTTCCCTGCATTAGGCAAATCTGAAGACTAGAGCTCTTAACATCTAGAAGAAGTCTGGGCAGATTCCAGCCTAGTGAGTTCTTGTATCTTTTCCTTAGAACCTGTGCCAACCACAACCAGGTAGAAAAGGCAGAGGCTGGATTCTCACCAGGCATTAAACCATCGAGGGCTTGGCTTGGGCTTAGCATGTGCACATTTCATTAGGGTTTAACATCCATGATTTATGGTTTAAGGTGTTATTTGATGCTCCTTTAGCAAAGGTGGGTTAGTACCTTCTTTTTTCTTAGTCTCAGTCCCCTTCTCAGCCTGATTCCACCCAGTTTGTTGCATTTGGGGGAGACAGAAGAGAGAACCAGCTCTCCAAAGGTGGGCAAGACACTGATTAAAAGAGGACATGGCAAGGGACTACATCATCCACCAGGGAAGCGAGACAACCATACCAAAGAGGTTTCCATTCCCTGCATGGATTCCCAGCTGGAGTGTGCACTCTTCTACACGGGCGCTTTGCCATACATTCTTCCCTTCCTGGAGCCAGGAGGAGGCCACATTTTACGGTAATTGGATCAGCACTATTTACAGGAAAAACGATTAACCTGTTAATCCAGACTGCAAGACAGCATTGGCCCGTGGTCAGTTCAAGAAAAGCAACTCAAAAAATCTCAGTCAGAGGCCTGGAATCTACATAGCCCCAACTGTGAGCAACCATCAGGGTATGCATTCAAAGCTTGCCAAGTCTCTGTCCACTGCAGTGTTCCTCAACCTTGGCCGCTTTAAGCTGTGTGGACTTCAACTCCCAGAATTCCCCAGCCAGCATGGGGGATGTCTGGCTGTGGGAATTTGGGGGGTGGAGTTCACAAATCTTTGAGTGGTCAAGGGTTGGGG